ACCCCTATTCCCTGAAATCCTTCCTCAGCCTACAATCAGCCTAGCACACTGTCTTCTGAGTTCCAGAGTTGAAAATGAGAGGGCAGTGGTGCAGTGTGAGAACATCTAAGTAGTTTCACATCACTTTCCTTCATGCAAAATTCATCATATATGCGAAATCCTCTCTTTAGGCTTAGAAAGACAGTTTAAAAAGCAATCTGGAGGACATCTTTCCAAGCGGGAAACACCCACAGCAGTCAAACATTGCCTACACCTACATAGCTCATAAGGTTTGAAACAAGCAGTTCGTCTTCTACTGGCACTGCAGTGTGTCTGTATTACACTGTACTGAATAATACGGAGTCCACATTCAGGTTTGTGCAAGCCTGTACAAATACTTTCTGTTTTCTCAACCAAACACTCCTAAAATTTACACATGTCATTTGAATTGGGGGGGTGGGAGTGAGTTCTGTCGCACAGAAGGATATCGGACATGCAAGAGCTACAGTGCTCTAAGCACAATTTTTTCTAAGGTAAGAATCAGGCAAGAAAATGATTTAATATTATAACCTATTGAATAGAAAGGCTGAGCAAGTCAACTACAGGATGAGTAATATGATGGCATAATCACCAGTGCCTAAAAGAAGAGTAAGAAACACCATTTCCTTTAACTCAAGTCTTGCAGGCTCCATCTCAAAGAAACTATATATCTAAGTGACCTGTATCTGAAAACCAAGATTGTTTGTAGCCTAAATACTACATAAAATTGTTATAACTTCAACAAAGATAGAAGAAAACCTGATGCTATCAAGTGTGCAACTGTAATGGTATCCCTGCAAAAACACATGGCTTTAAAGCAACAATACAGCAAGGCTGAAGACTCCCCCATGCTACCTGATGTTTCTTTAACGTGCCACAATTTTAAGAATCTTGAAAGTATTACAGACTTGGGTCAACTCACAGAAAACGAAGTACCGTAGGAAAAAAAAACCCTCAATTTGAATGCTTATATCCACTTCTTTAAATCTAATCTACCACTAAATGCTGTGTGACTTCAAGTAACAGGAAAACTAATAGAAGAAAAAAATTGTAGTTCAAGAAGCAACAAGAAGTCAGCTGAAAGGAAACCAGGCATTTGGAAATCCACTTATAGAAGCACAAATACATAAAAAAATTCCACAAACCTCTCCTTTTTACCAAGTGATTAATAAAGATATAGTGATATATTCCAGCTTTTTCATGCAGTTTGCTTGAATTTGAACTGAGACATTCTGACAATCCATTCATTTTTTTGGTGACACAAATTTTGCCATTCTGATATAAAGCATCTCATTGCAGCTTCTCAATTTTTGCCACAGATAGGATCAAAGCAACAGTCATTATGGAGTCTTTTTAAATGTGTTATTAATCTAAAAATTAGGTCCCTGCAATTTGAAACAATTAACTCAAAATTGTGGATCCTACATCTGGAATTAACTGTTTTCCCCATTTCATCAACTCTTCTTAAAACCTTCTAAAATTCTTAAACCTTCTAAAATTAAATGTGATGAGTTCCCCCCAAGTGTCTAAGCAGCACATTTAAAACACATTCACTGCCTACCTGAACCATCACTGGAGACTGAACTCGCATTAATTCCAGAAAGGCCAAATAAGGGACATTCTCGATCAGTGTTTATATGACCCCACTTGTGGCATTTGATACACCTCACATTCCGCACCTAAAGGGAAAAAACCAGGTGACACAATTTAGCTAAAAATACAACCTAAAATTTAAAGAAATATCTGCATTATTAGGCATAAGAGAAGCTTTCAAACTCACTGAGAAACAGACGACAAAATTAAGAGAGTCCATGTGAATGCTCTGCAGTTAGATAACATTTGAAACATACTCAAGACATCCACAGAGTGAAATTTATGTAACTTGCCTGGATACCAAATGGCTGATCTCTGATATTCATATCATCCTTAGCATATCTGTTACACAAACACAAAAGAAAACAAATACTCAATTCACTGTTATTTTTTAAAAAAAATCATACACAAAACTAACTTTTGTTGTTAGGTTTACATCCACTTCAGAGATATAATTCTTTTAAATATTGTTTTTAATGTATCTTCAAATATGGATGTAAAAGTCAAAAAACCCCAAAGCTGAGCAAGGAAATAGTTCCAGGTTTGTGGGTTTTACTAATTAAATGTCAGAACATGAAAAGATCACACAAGTGACCTGTTCAAAAATAAAACAGAGAAAAAAAAAAGGAAAAAGAGGAAAAGCATATAAAGGGTAAATAAGAGGAAAAAAAACTTATTTAGATAAAATCCAGAAATCTTACTTTTCTCGAGGGGCAACTTTTTGCCATTCGAATTTGTATTCAGTCTCTCCTTCTTGCTATAAAACAGAAAACATGGTAAGTTAGATTTTTTTTTAGAATACGTTTTAAGTGGGAAGAAAACTTAAAGAAATGATGTAATGAAATACCTCTTTTGTTTCCTCTTTGAATTTTCAGAAATCATGCAAAGAAAAGAAATGATATGTTAGTTATGTATGTAAAATACAGGTGGTGTCTAAGCTGAAGACAAAACGTTTTATGGTTTATACTTATCAATAGTGAAAATACTCAGAAAGCAGCTTTATTTAAATAGAGTGCACTTAAAATAATCAGTCTCTAGTATACAATTATAAATCCTCTAAACCCAGAATCATCTTCTAAAATTATACTGATTTGTCATACAAGTAAAAACCTTTAAATATATTTTTCCAAAAGTAGTAATAATACTTAAAATATTTTTAAAAAGTTTAGCAGGTACTTAGTAACTTCTGTTTATGACAGTACTACATAGGCATAGTCAGATCCCCCAGAGACAGGTCAGGCAGCCCTTTTGACTAGAGAATATCAGTATTTATTACTTATATAACTTCTGCAAATTAAATTTTTGCACTGCTATTTCCTATGTTTGACAAGTAACAAACTGAATTATTTGCATAACTTTTAAACAAAAGCAACCTGCTATTTCTACAAAGGAGAGTAGGCCAAAATACAGGTTTGTGTTGTCCAAGTCATTGCCTTGGTAATGCCTAGTCCTCCCCATCCAATAGCTTTATAATTGGCTAAAGAAACACCCTTGGTCAAGGTCAGAATTTATGCTTTTTCCTGGAAAGATATTTTATCTGTTTTTCCCCTTCACACTGAACCATTGCTTAAAAAAACCTCAACCATTCTCTTTGAAAGAAATTAAAGAAGTGTGAGATCAAAATTATTACATACTACATACATGTCCGCATATTCCCACAGGAAGAATTAAAATAATAATACCTCCTAGCATTACCTCACTATGAACATGTTATTTTAAAATAAAAAACATTGTGCTTATTTCTTCAGAAGGTTTTTAGTTTTGCAGTACTGTCTGCTCAGAATCAGAAAACCACAGTACCTTTCTTTGCTCCAGGTGGGGCTTCATACATGAAATTAAGACCATTCTTCACACGCTCATCACCCATAAGCAACCTAAATAAAAAGGGTAGAGCCTGAGGTGTTACACACAAAACAGTCACACCCGTATCACTTACTAAAACAAGAAGAAATGCAGTATGAAATTGTTGTAACTGGCATTTTTTCATTTCTTAATGTAAGTAACAAAAGCTGAGCATCAAGAGAGACCAGACCTGAGAGACCAGTCAATATTTTTGCATGCTCCATGGTGTACCAAAAATCACACATTTCAATCACAACAGAATTAAGAACGCAGATTTCTATGTGATACAAATGTATAACTATACAAGATTTTCTGCTGTTCTGTGCAACATATTTTGCAACTAATTAGAAGACAAACTCAGGCCACTTTAAAGAAGTTCCTGTGACCTCTGCTTAATCAGACAACACTTTTATAAGTCACTGTCCTCTCCTACTACTACTGTCAACAGGAGACAGTAGTTCAAATTGCTCACAGTAAAATGGCGTTCACTGCCATGAAAACAAGAAACCGCAGGAAGAAGTGTGTGATCTTATGCCAGTTCTCACCTATTATCATAGGATTCCTGTTCTTTCAAATACTGTTGCATTAATTCTTCTTGTTTCTTCTTATCATATGATATTTTCTGTTCCGCCATCCATACCTAATTAAAACAATTAGGTTTCTATTTTAAACAAATACAAAAACTATCACAAAATATATTAATGTATAAAAACTCAACTGGCGTAATCTATACTTAACAAGGGAAGGCTGCCATTCTAATCACATAAAATACACTATTTTAATCCAGTATTGCAACTCCCCACGAGCAGTAATTTTGAGAAACTACAACTCCCAACAACGTTTACAAACTGAAAAGACAGGAGAAAATTTGGTAACTCAAAGAGAAAAGTCGGCTCAGAAAACACCCTGAGCACGTCACTGTTTCCCCTGGAGTGTCACTCCCTTGCCGAAGTCCCCCAGACCCCAAACCCCAGGTTCCCTCGGAAGTCCAGGACACAGTTCTGGGGAGGAGAGACCTGTTGGTTGGGTGTGAAATATGGACGAAACATGGGCACAATCGTGACAGGTGGTTTCCTGTACGGTGTATGGTGCCTGTTTATCCTGAGAATCAGGTGTTGAAAAGCTGGAGCCAGGAAAACGCGACAGTCCTACACACCTGTGGACACGAAAACCCGAAGTTTCCTCCTTCAAAGAGGAAGCTCTCTGCCCCAGCCCCGGTCCCATCCCAGGATGCCGACGAGCCTCGCTCGTGCCACTGAGGTGCCGGGAGCCCGTCACCCCCCCCCGGTACCCCCAGCCCCCCCTCACCTTTTTGATGTTGGACTTGGAGGCGGGGTGAAAATCCTTCTTGCACATGAAGTTGGCGAACGACTTCCCCATGGCGGCGGCGGGCAGGGAGCCAGGGAGCCACCAGCTCCCTCACGGACACAGGGAGAGGAGCAGGGACAGGGCTTGGGATGCGCCGGGGCCGCCTCGGCCGGGCCTTCCGGGTCGGCGGGCGGGTCTTCCGCGGGCGCCGCCGGCCCCGCCCCGCCGCCGGTGGCACCGCTGTCCCCGCCGGTACCGCCGCTGTCCCCGCCGGGCCCGCTCAGCGGCCACCGCCGCCACAATGTCGCCCTGGCCGTCGCCCCGCTCCTGCGACACCTTCGTGGCGCTGCCGCCCGCCGCGGCCGGGGGCCGCGTGGTGTTCGGGAAGAACTCGGACCGGCCGGCGGACGAGGTGCAGGAGGTCGTGCACTTCCCGGCCGCGACGCACCCGCCCGGCGCCGCGGTGGAGGTGAGGGCAGGACGAGTCCTGCGGGAGGTGGCGAAAACACCCCTCTCACCCCGCTACCTGCGTGCTTAGCCCGCGATTTGGCCGGTGACCCGCGGTGTGCTCTGACCCCTTGCAGTGCACCTACATCAGCATCGAGCAGGCGGAGCGGACCCACGCCGTGGTGCTGAGCCGCCCGGCCTGGCTCTGGGGCGCGGAGATGGGAGCCAACGAGCACGGCGTGTGCATCGGGAACGAAGCCGTGTGGGGCAGGGAAGAGGTCTGCGATAGCGAAGCTCTCCTCGGCATGGACCTCGTAAGGTTTGCACAGGCCTTTCTGGTGAATGGTATTTCGGATTTGGAATTTAACGTGGAAACATTTGGTTTGAGTTATATGGGGAAATATGTCCTTTCACTTTCAGAAAACACTTCTTCCACTATTCTAGCTATGGTTAAAAATAAGTACTTATTGGCACAGGCATTAAATCTCTGCCAGGAGCCCACAAGAGGTATCAGGCATTAGACCAGAATCTGTCAAGGAAATTAGCAAACATTTTCCTCTCTATAAAAGTTTATACTAAACTGAAGCAATTCTTTTAAGAGCACAGGAAGACTTCAGGAACTAGTGTTTGGGCCTTTTTCTAGGGTCTGTACTCATTTCCTATTTCCTCCATCTTACACACACATAATTTTAAGTTTCAGTCTTAGCTGCACCTCTTTGTATAAATAACAGCTTCATGTGCCTACCCCATTGGGTGCCAGTGTAACTCTCATTAACCTACAGCAGTCAGTCAACTCTTCTTGGTACTGTTTCCCCCCCGTCCAATACCCACACAGGACTTGCAGGCATTTTGTAGGAGCCTTCTCCCTGCTTTTCTGTATTTCCATTTGGTGTTTTTCCCCACATCAAGCACATAGAGGACTTACTTCAAAGAAGCCCTTTAAGTGACTTGCTCATTTCTCTTACCAGATCATACAAGTGTCAGGTACATATAGAAATAGCATTCCAGGTCAATTTGAATACTCAAGCTGAAAAGCTGTATGTGGAGTTTATAGTTCCAAAGATAACATCTTCCTTTTTTTTTTTTTTAGGCTTGGACTTGAAAGAGCAGACACAGCTGAAAAGGCTCTTACTGTCATAGTTGATTTGCTGGAAAAATATGGACAGGGAGGAAACTGTATGGAGAGCCACATGACATTTACATACCATAACAGTTTTCTGATAGCTGACAGAAAGGAAGCATGGGTGCTGGAGACATCAGGAAAATACTGGGCAGCAGAAAAAGTAGAAGGTATGGACGATGCTCTTTGTTTAAACATTTCAAATGCAATGACAATTGGCAGTTCTCCACTTTTCATTTACCATTTCGTTAAGGCATCAAACTAACTTCCAGCTACATACATGTGCCTGTAAACAGGAGTTGCTTCCTAGGGCATGAGTGTGGAGTGGCAAGCAGTTTGTCAGAGGAGCTGAGTGACAGGGCCTTTTCAAAGTCAGAGGTATCCACTCCTACACTTGGAATACAGAGGACAGAGAGGTCAGCATGAGAATGACAGCAGTATGTATGGTCATAGGGATGATGGCAATCAATGGCAATTTCATTTGGTGACAGGATTGCTGTATTGGGCCCTTCCAGTGGACTTAGAAGGACAAGCTATGTCTTTGGAGGTTTAAGAGGAAGAATGTAAAGATGGGAATAATCAGGACAGAACCTGAAGTACAATGTTGGCAATAGGAGCAAATGAGTCAGAACTGAGTTGCAGTGGAATTTCAATCAGAAGAATACATATAGCTAGGGAAAGAGGGCCAAAAATAAACCACGGGACTCAGAGATCTTACAGGAAACTCTTCATTTCTGATTTGCTTAAGTAATTGTAAACAAAATCCCAAGAAAAATCATTCTATGTATTGAAACAGTTCTTTCCTCAATTTACAAACAGGAGGTGTACGTAATATTTCCAACCAGCTCTCTATCACAACCAAGATTGACAGAGAACACCCAAAATTGAAGGAATATGCTAAAAGCAATGGCTGGTGGGATGGCGAAAAGGAATTTGATTTCGCTGCCACGTATTCTTATGTCAATACTGCCAGAATGACCACAACCAGAGGCCGATATTGTGAAGGCTATAAACTTCTGAACAAACATAAAGGTATAATTTTTATATATATTCTTTTTTAAGATATGCAAAGTATTTAGTGACCTATGTTAATCATAAATGATTATACATCTGATGCAGGCAATTATTCATATGACTTGGTGAACCAGAACTTACTAGAATAACGTTTTGCCTAAAGGAGAAGTGCTGAACTTGAAATCTATCCATTTTTGACAATATGTTCATGAGGAAAAATTAAAACAAGGGTCAAATATCAAACACATACAGCAACAGCAACAATCGTGAGAGATCACATTATGACCATATCACTAAATACTGTGTAAGACCTGTTCTGAAACATTTTGATAGGCTATGTATTATTACTCTACTTCCAAGGACAAAAAACTGGAGGCTAAAACAGACTTCCAGTGGTTTGCAGCCACAAAGAACCTTACGAACAACTTCAGTCTGCTGCCATTCATATAAGCCTCAGGCAACAGCACAGCACTCAGATACATATCTTGCATTTATTTTTGACATTGGTTTTTAAGCCTTTGTAGTTTCACTGTAACTGCTACTCTAATCTTGTGTAGTCTAATAAAACACACTGAGAGCAGAAGAAAATAATCTTCTGTACTCTAAGCAGGTGCTCCTAATCAGTAAACTTACTTATTTTTCAGACCTCTAGAGAAAGAAGCTATTACTTCTCTTCTAACTGCATCTGTATTCACTTGCTCATTTGAAGGAATTAATCTGAACCAAGATTACACTGCACCTCTTCATTTTTTTCTTACTTATTTAGCTGAACTCTGCCAGACCAGGTTTAGCATTTAGTTAATGCATCAGAGTGAATTACCTTTTGCAGTTTTGCTCTAGTGATCATGTAAATCCTGCATTCATTTTGGGAATTGCAGGTTCTGAATACTGAAAGCATTTTCATAATACCTGTATTTACTTGTATTTTAACAACGCTAAGATTCTATCTGTGTTTTCATTCTAAATCCCCATTTTCAGGCATTTACCTGAGCTATTTGAAAAATCTCACTAGGTGTTCAGGTTATCAGCCTCATATGGCACACTTTGTTTAGATTTATTTTAAATAGGTGCCCTAACTAAAAGCTATTTGGTTTACAGAATCAGTAAAATCACTGGTTTCTTCATCTACCCTTCCTCACTTTTTCACTCGGTAGCATTACAGTTGTGGGTTTTTTTCTGGCTACCTACCATGTGAAGACCATTTTTAGATAAATATTATTTTTATTTCAAAACACAGGGAATGTATTTCAGGCATACAAAATTATAATAAAGTCTAATGGAAAATGTGTAGTACCTTCTTTCCTGCTGGACAGGTTGCCAAGTTGCAGTTGACAAACTGACCTTTGCTTCTTTTAATTTCTTTGATTTGTCTAGCTTGCTGATTTCTTTAATTCTCTGACTTTCCCAGGCAGCTGTGGGAATACTTAAGAGTGTTTCCTTGCTGAAATGTAGTGCTGCATGCCTGTCTACAGGCAATTTGGATCATGCATGAAAAAACATTATTGAAGACATCTGACTTACAAGCAATTACTTTAAAAGGAAACAGCAAGGCAGTTTAAAAGAAGAATCTCTATGCAGTTAGAACTCACTGAGGGAAACATTAAAATATTAAAAATGTAGATGATACCTTCAAATTAAAAAAAAGTGAATGAACTGTTTTTGTACCAGAAGTGTACCCTCTACTGATACACCAAATGTGAAAACTTCTGCAAGTGCTGCCTGTTAGAATATTGGATGGCTTGGTGATACCATGCCAGTATCTGAGCTTCAGTGTATGCTGTACATGAACAGCAATATCATTTGAACACTGGATGCAGAGGCATATATGGAAAGGGCTTTGTTTCACCTGAGAAGAAAGGTGACACTTGGCACTATACCTCACACAGGGTGCTGATTAAGACTTCTTTACAAATGAATGTACTACTTTAGTTTCTGTTGATTCTGAATATAGAACATGTTACTCCAGTGCATCCTTTTGACTGTTAGCTTGAAGCCTAAGTGCTTTTTAAGGTCAGAGGATGAAAATACATTAAAAAAAAAAAAGCCACCAAAAAAACCAAACCCAAAAAACAAGTGACAGTCTTAGTGTTTCATTTTCAAAGTTTCACACAAAATCCACGCAGAGTGGTTATTATTTTTATATTTTCAAAGCAACACAGTGGTATTAACTCTGTTCAAATACCAAACAGTATTTGAACAGATGACTTATCTTAACTTCCACACAGTGCTCAGAGTTCAGCATTTAATCCAAGATACTAATTTTCATCTGAAAAGTTACTTTGTGAATGACCATTTGCTAGTCATATGTAATTTACCTTTCTGGGAAATACCACTTGTTTTCATCCTCCCCGCTTTTTAAGTCATATTATAATGCATTATCACTTTGGGGAAAGCAGTAACATTTATACGTGTATTAGCTATTAAGGTATGCCATTAGGATGATTTTTTTTCCTGCCAACACAGACAAACTAAAACTGGCATTGCCTATTAAAGGAAAAAGGAGACAGTTGTAGTGAACATGGCATTTAGTTGGTATTATAGGTAGCTCTGTGTCTAAATCATTGTATTGTATCTTAAATAGGATCTATCACTTCTGAAATAATGATGGAAATTCTTCGTGACAAAGAGAGTGGCATTAACATGGAAGGTGGATTTATGACAACTGGCAGCATGGTGTCTGTACTGCCTCAGCAGCCTAATCTGCCCTGTATTCACTACTTTACTGGAACTCCAGATCCAGCAAGGTGATATAGCAGCAAGTAAATAGGATAAAAAATTGCAAATATCTAAATGAAAAAGTGCTGCAGTTTGTCTAATTATATTCCTTTTTGCTTTGTCTTTCTTCCCCCCCTGAAAAAGCAGAATCAAATGTAGGAGGTACATAATGTATTATGTACCTTAATGCTCTGTACCAACCTACTTAGTGAAATACTGCTGTGACACTGACTTAGACATCAGTTAGATTTTTTTTTTTAATACTTTCTTCTTGAAAGAAGGAAGTAGAAGAATGGGGGAAAATACTGACTCAACAATTTTAACAAAACTGGGTCAGTAAAGGATCTCTGTTCTATTTTCTCTTTCTAGGTCTGTCTTCAAGCCTTTCATTTTTGTGCCCGATATTACTCAGTTATTAAAAACTACGTCCCCTACATTTGGTCATGATGATCCAGTTAAGAAGCAACCACGTTTCCAGAGTAAGCCAGATCGAAGACATGAGCTCTATAAAAAACATGAAAGTGCTACTGTAGTTATGGAAACTAATGAGGTACGTTGATTAAATTAGATTTCAATGCAAGCAGGTGGTTTATATAAGCTCCTTGCTCACATTTTGTTAATGCAGTGCCATTTAATGCCCTTTGATGGATGGCAAAGAACAGTGTAGTGCCCCAGAAGCCCCTTGTGTTGGCATCTAGCAGGCACGTTTCAAACTGCAGCCAGCACTGTACTGTACTCCCAGGCTCAGGCCCAGGTAAGTATCTGCATGGCTCACCTTTAAAAAGCTGTTCACCACAGAGTCCTGCGCCAGTCAGATAAGGGGGAAATGCTTGAGCAGCCACAAGGGAGTAGACAACTCCTGGTAAGAGGACTTAAAACTCTTCAGGTCTCAGGCAGAAAGGAGGGCTTGCCTTTCATCATTGCTTGGTATGGACAGGAAAGGAAACAAGATGACAAAGATAGCTGTACACAAAGGTGAAGCAGGAAGGGAGTTGCTTACTTTGAACAGTAGCATCTCTCCTATTTATGGATATGTGTTCTTAAAGATAAGTCAGTCATATGCCCACTTAAGTTTTGGTAACATAAATATCTGAAGCAGCTTTAATTTTATTTTCAATCCATCAGAAGGGTGTAGGGAGATTAAGTGAATGCTAGATATTAGGAAAGGTATCTAAGAAAACCTGTCAGGGTGCTGACTTGTACCAATACAAGTTTGCACCCTAGAAACTCTTAAAAGATTAAACTAGAGACTGTAGAACAGAATTATGTTAGGGTGATCACTACGTACTCTGTATATCTTTTAGTGAAATAGATGTTTCTTTTTGCAGGGCAAAGGTAAAGAAATGCTCCAGGAGTTACAGAAGCTGGAGAAACAGAAGATAAGTCAAATGGAATCAATCCTGCAAAATGGATGTCTTGATGTTAACCAAGTGGTTAAACTTTTTTCACAGTGTGTAGAACAAGAACTCAAAATATATAGCTAAGAATATTATTTGAATGGGGTAAAATTACATCTTATTTTCAGTATACCACTTAATATGGACAGTTTTAAAATTGTGGATTCAATATTTAGGACAAATATTAGGCTTTTGATTGTAGGAAGCAATGCTGAAAAGGCTCCTAAGAGCTAGGCAGTGGCTTTGTACGTGGCACAAAGCTGTCAGCAGAGACTGATTTTGCCAACAAACAGATGCAATTAGAATGCAATAACTTGATGAAATTGTGGAACAGCTCCATCTCTGGCTAAAGAACACCAATTCAGCTTTGGAGAACTCAGTTCTAGTGTACACACATGTAGCTTTTATAGTCAAGAGAATTGTAGCAGAAGTCAGACTACCTGAATTAAAATGGCCATACTGAAGACTTTGTAAAATGTGGAATCTATGATGAGCACTGAATAAAAAGGAAAGTAAGATCGATAGTCAGTTGTTTGATGAAACCACTCTAAGACAGGTTTATATGAACCTTCTACTCCTTCAATGTAAAATAGGCTAAGAGTTCAAGTTATATTAAAAACAAATCACAGTTATAATTTTACCATGAGTGGTTGTGAAATCTGATTACATGGAATTCATCAATGCAAGCATCCTGTAAGTTACCACACAGTTTTCACTTCCCTTTCTATTTTCCCCCACCCTGATACTGAAAAATAAACTTATTTACATAGAATATGATTATTGTCAAATTAATTCTCCAATGCACTTTATAATGCACTATGATGTGGGAGTTTTAAAATGTTTCTTGAATTGTTACTTTTTAAAATTGGGCAACCAGAAAGGAAGAGTTTGAGGTACAAAAGTATGTACATGTACTCAAGCAGGACACTTAAAAGTACTTTAAATTTTTTTTCACTTCATATTAAGCCTTTTAACCATGACTTCGTTTGCCAAAATTAGTAGACTGTGGAGTTAATTTAATCAAGCTTTTTGCCCAGCCTCATGCTGTTTAAAAGTAATGATCAATATATGACACTTCTTTTATTATCTGTGGCAAGGGACAAACTGAACAAATAACAAAGAACTGACTTTACCACATGATGAAGCAGGATAAAAAGTATGACTGTAAGGAAAAAAACCAAACCACTCAAAAGCCAACACTTCTGCAAACCTTTAGAAGAAAACATGGACCATGAAATGGAGCATTAGAGCTGCAGCAGTGATGTGACATGATCCAGCATCCCCACAGACAAAGCAGACCACAGAAAGACCATTCTTTGATGGTTTCTCTATATTTAGTCTAGAATAATCTCAGATGCTAAAGATACGGCCATGAACATGCAATTTTCTCATTTTGTAAACTGTTCTATCCCCCACTGGTAAAAAAAGTAAGTACATGCAAATGAATAGTCAATGAAGTTTGCAGAATTAATATGAAAAGTAAGAATTTGGCAGAATTTATTCTTTTTGATGCTAAAATGAAAGTAGAAATTAATTTGGGATGCTGTGTTCAGATCCACAGTAAGAAACTAATGAGCCAGGAAAAGCTCTTGAACTTACTAGTTCTAGTGTGCCATGTGGCAATAGCAAGCAGGACTGAGTAGCAAGTTAAACTGAAAGCAAGTTGGATTTGACTGTGATCCTTTTGAACCTGTGTTTGTTGACAACAAAATTTCATAGAAGTGCAATAGTACATAGTGGATGTTTGTTAACTGGAAGATAGATTTAATAAAAATTTGCTGCATTTACTTGTTTTCCTTATGGATGTCCATATCTAACAACCATGTGTATCTTTGTCCTATTTTTGCTCATCAGCTGTTCCACACTAGCTCTTTCATAGCTTCAAAGCATCGGTAAATGTCAGGTAAAACTGTGCTGAAACCAAGGTATGAATCAAGTTTACAGGCAGCATGGCAAAACAAGTGAAACAATTCTATGCTACAATGCAAATACTGAAGTTACACAGGAAGGACAATAGTGAAGTCAGTGGAGTCTCTAAGTGAACTTCTTGGCCACTTAATCATGGGGTGGCAATTCAGAAGGTTAAGCATATCAGCCCAGTTGTAATACAGGCAGGTACAGTCCAACTGTTCCTCTTGTTTATGTGTTGCTTTTTATACTAACTGGTCTACAGGATACAAAGTAAAAACAATGTAATGAGTGGAGACAGTTCAAGTGATGGCCAAAAGAGTAAGAATATTTCAGTACCTTTTTATCTTGGGATTTCATCCTCTTGAAATACACGCAGTGTAAAAATATAATATGAAGATGAGATCAGGAGGAATAAATAATCCTCCCTCCCTTGTACAACCATATAACAAAAAAAAAAAAAATCAGAATGTCCTCTAGAGGGCAATCTTTGCATGGATTTCACCTAGGAATGTATCACAGCTGATTTTAAAAGGTCTAGAGGTTATGAAGGAACATTATTTAAAAAAAAAAGTACTAAAATTTCTACTTAGAAATCTACAAGTATTATATCCATCCCTGTCCATTATCACAATTATTTTGAGATTAGTCCTAGAAAAAAGATCCAATGATCCAACGTTTCACTGGATATTCCTCTGCACTTACTTGTTCAGTAGATGTTTTCACAGAACTTAACTTCCAAGTTAACTGAGAATTACCCCAAACTAACCCACCTTCAAAATAAAAAATCTCGTTGTACCACTGACCACATCTTTAAAGCAAAACTATTTCTAACCACCACAAATCCACATATCAGTAGATCAACTACTGACATAACATCAAATTGTCAACTATTCTAAAACTGCTCCTTGGTGGAAGTAAATATTTACCAGATAAAAAGTTTTTTAATTTTCTAAAGCTATTCACATCTATTCTTGGCTTCCAGAAGTACCCAGTGATTTAGAAACTCTAAGCAGAAATTTTGAGCAATTTCTTACTTACGGATATGTTGTGTTCAAATCTAGGAAACAGCAGAGCCATTAAAAAAAAAAGGAAGCAAGACTTTCACGATGAAAATGAAAAAGGCAAGAGTGCAAGAACAATGATTATGAATAGGACTGTAAAACTTCCCTAAGATCAAGTTCTTGAATATTTGAAGAATTAAAAAAAAATTAATTGTATTTGATAAGTAGTTGATAATGTGAAACGTTCCTGGTATGGACATACCTTTCTGTGGACACCCATTAACAAATTCTCTGTCTACTTAAAAAGTATTAAGGGTGGATTTAAGAAATACCAGAACTGAAACCCAAGAGCCACTTTAACAAATCTCTCAGAAAAATACATTTGTCATAAGCTTTGACATGCACATATAACCCTCTCACATCTCACATCACAACACAGCTCCGAACTCTGAAATCAAGTAATAGATTTATTGACAAATTACAGTATTTAGAAGCCAGACACACTCACAGCTTCTGCTCTTAAGTCACATATATCTAATTATTCCAAAATATTTGATGCAGTTGTCTTCAGCAGTTATTATGGAAATACACTACTGTTTTCCTTTGTGGACACAGCCTGATACAAATGTCAATTATTTTGTTGCTGGAAAACATTAAAATATGTCAGTTTCCATGGCATACATACGCAGTAGAACGCAATTATTTTTCTGTGTACACTGCAAAAGTGCAAGAAGAATGACAGTAAAAGGAATTATTTTTTCAATGTAAGTCCTGCATGGAGTTATAGCAACCATAAAACAACTGCTACTTAAACAGGAGCTTATGCTGCTAAAATAATTTTTAATTCTTAATACAAAGTGGATGCAAAATTAGATAGAATAAAAACCTGTGTACTAAAAAAGGGAAAAAAAGGAAGGGAAAGACTTTTAAAAACAAGGATAAGAGGAGTTATTCATATGCTTGAGCAAATGATTTTTTTTTAATACCTGGATTCCTTTCCCTCACTATATAAAATTTTTATATAGACATATAAATGCTGTTCTTGCAGTTTTAAAAGGGCAGCACAATGGTTATCAGATATAACACTTGGTCTTTAACTTTTTTTAAATACTGCAGAAGACACATAGGTTCTCAGATTCTGCCTGCAGTGCACAGGAATCTGAATGACACTAAAGTAACTATTTAGATATTGTAGGAGGATACCTGAGGTTTATTAGAACCTGTGTTAGGCAAACAACTAAAATTTAGGATCTTTAGCTACTCTAAACCCCAATTTGGATGTTCAGTTAGGATTCTTTATAGAATAGATTTTAAAAAATCATTGTATTTAATTTAAAAAGTTCCATGGTTTGAAAAAGAATTTTGTCTTGACTTACACGTCTCCAAGGCTTCCATAAAATCCTTATTTGAGGCTGGCACTTCTGAATTAAACTGTAAAGGCTAATTTCAGAATGTAAAAATCTACTCTTGATAAAGCTGTTACTACCACCATAAGGCAAAATTTCAGAACAAATTGTTTATTCCATGATGTAATTTCCTAATTTGGAAGAGTGCTGCGTATTTTTATGGTTTTGAGATTTGGTAGGTTTGTACAAAACCATTATTTATTCCACTTGGTATTTCCTCAGCTTTAATCCTCTGACATTGGGAACATTGTCACAACAATTCCACTTTTATAAATGGAGGATTTTATCTTTAAGGGAGAAAAAACCCACCTGATCTGAGGTGTAAAGAGCTAGAAAAAGTTCCTGGTGTTAGACAAGAGCAGAGTAGTCAAAACTGGGGTATGATAGAAGAAATCCTACTTCTATGAAGTCAGGGGGAAGCCTGACTGTAAACAGGCATCAATATTTCATCACACTAAAATATGGAAAACATTCAGCAACATGAAAAATACCTTTCATGGGGTTTTTCTTCCTCATTGTGGCATCAGTCACTAAAGCTGCTGTTATAATGCCTATAAAATACAACAGTGACACATATAATTTTACGATTTGTTTTGCTCAGAATGGAAAAAATGCTCTAAATCCAGAGCATCTGGTTTCATTTAGTTGCATTCTGGTTGGAATGCTCACTAAATATCACTTGCTACCATTTCCTCCAGAATAGACACAAATAGAACCACATCTCTCAATCTTACAAGAGAGAATAGCACAGTTCCCTGAGAGCCCTGAGAAAGAAACACTTCCAGTTCCAGTGGTGAAGGCAGAGGGTGGTCACATTCACCCCTAACTACCTGTCCCTTGCCTACATGCTCAGGTCAATGGCTCTCAACTGCAACTGATCTCTTAGGAATAAAGCGGTAATACAAATATTCATCCCGAAATTCAAATTCATTTGTAATGTGCTGGACGACACCTCCTTTCATCAGTCTGTCCCCGTACATCACAGCTTCGCCACGGTCGGAGGCAAGGCCAACTTGAATGAGCCAGTTCACCAGGTCACAGCCAAAGAAGATGCCAGTGGAGATCTTTGCACCACACCTGTATGTCAAAGGAATGATTCACCCACATGTTCTGTAAATCTGGTATCACCACTGCACGATGGGGAAAGGCAAGGAAAAATAGCAGGAAACAAGGAAAGATATCATGATAGTTAAGAGCATGTTAGAAGAGAATTTGCAAGTTTTGTATATTAGGGACATGCCAATGTTCCCTACCGTTTCCTACAGACACTTCAACGAGAAGCAATATGGACATACAAAGTTGTTTTACACTTGTGCAAATAAACTTCAGTGGGCATAAGTAGCAATTTTCCTAAAAACTCACACAATGTAATTTTATTTCTTGTGTATTTACTTCCCACGTACTTGTTACCATGACCATTCTACAACAAAATATCTGATCTGAGAGCAGCGTGCCCCCAGCAACAGGGACTCAAGTCTGAACTTTAATTCCTTTTTATAATTTATGGACAGCTTTAAACAGATACTAACTGTTTACATACATTGTAAACAAAAACCATTTACAACTTGCATATCCTGTTAAGTATTTACCACACAGGCAGTACTAAGAATAAACAAAACCTTTACAACAAGAATAATTTTCTTCTACATATTTATGAGGGCATGCCACTAGCATCTACCTAGTTGCAGTAAAAATGCCATGCAAAAATTTAGCTGCAGCAATGAATGTTTCTGGTTATCTAAAATCTACGCTATGGAAACCAAGCCCAGGGTTTCTGAAGGTGATTAAGAGCTACAAGACAGCATAAACCAAACTTTTTTCCCCTGTTTTTTTTTTTTTTAAGTTAAAAGCAGCACTAACACAGAGCAAGTGTTAACATCTACTAGCAGAGACGCAAAAATTAAAATAAATTAAAATCCATGGTTATAAGGTCTCAGTTATGTTATGTTTAAATCAAAGAGGATAGGATCGAGACAGATGAATATTTAAAATGAGAAGATAAATGCTTTGTTTTAATTCACATGGACAAATAAGACATGAAACAAGTTCTGCACAAACATATTACAACAATGAAGCAACAAATATCATATTTTCATGTATTCTCAGGTGGATGTATGATTAATAAAAACCACAAAACCCAACTTAATGAACAGCCCAAAGCCCAAGAAACCACAACAGCAGAAGAAGCACAGGAAACACAGATATAAAACCTGTTCTATTTCACAACAGACATTTTCTGATACATCTTTCTTATGGAACATAACTGACTTCTGAGGTGACTGAACAAAATCTTCATGCTGTCTAAAACAGTTCTGCAATGTGGTTTTGGACTATCCGACCATTAAAAGACCACCCCATCCTGCCAAACTAGTCCTACTTAAAAGTTTACATGATAGGAAAAGTCGAAGTGTCCTATTAGAACAATTCTTCATGTCTGCATTTATTATATTTGAATAAAGGCAGAATCTT